TTCGTTGAAATTAAAGCTTTAATGATAGTGGATCACTGTTGAGTAAACTGTCAAGACATCTCATTCTGATAACAAAACAAAATGTTTAAAAGGGAAAAGTAGCCAAGTAGGTTTGCAAGTATTTTTAAACTCAGAGCAATTTTAATGAATATTTGTTCAGTGAAATTTTGCTGCTTCAGTATTGGTTCCCATTTGGAACTGAAAATATATGTAAGCATTTATGGATTTGAAGAGTTGGCAGAGAGCAGAAAACCTTTTGGGCACTTTCTCAAAATGTGCCAATTAAGAAAGAATGCTGCGCTGCCTCTTCATGACTGTAGCATTTAAGATAACAGAATTAAAGGAGTAACAGTGAATGTGAAGTTGGATGTTTTCAATCCTAAGATACAAATGGCTAAGTGCACTTGCATAGTGAAATGGAAACCCACTCTTCCCTCTGATCTCCCAGCATATTTTTATGGTGATTCAGTGCTTTTGTTGGTCTTTGGTGGGGCTTTCTTTGTGGCTTTCTTGAAATTATTTTGAGTTCAGTGGGTTTGGATTTTTTTTAGTCCTGTTCTGTGAGGACTACTTTTCTAGACTTCCTGATTTTTAAATCTGAAAAACTGAAAGAAATCTATCCTTTAAAATTATTGCAGGAAAACGTTAGAATTTCAGTTCAGAAAAAAACACTGCTATATTAAAAATAGGAAATCAGTTGCCCCAGTTTGTTTTTTAAATTAATCTCTTGAAATGCTTGTTTTTTCTGGACTGTTCCTTCCAGTATGAAAAAGACACAAACAGAAAATGGAAACATCTTTCAACATATGGTGTCTAAAATGTTTCCTGTTTGTAGGCTGTGAATGATCAAATATATTGTTGCCAGTATTACGTATATATTCAGATTTAGTCTTCAGATTTTTAGACACCAAGGCATTTGTGCCAAAATTCTTTCTTTTAGAACTCTTTTTTCTTAAAACTGGATAAGTTACACTAAAAAAAACAGTTGATGACATAGTAGTTATAGAAGTAGGTAACTCACAAGGTTTACTAATTCTGAATTCAGTGGTGGTTTTACTGTCATAATTTTCCATTAACTTGATGTGAGAGAATGACACAGTGTCCTTTTGTGTGCTTTTAGGTAACATACTTGAAATTTAAAATTTTAAACATGAGAAGAAAGAAGTTGGGCTATGTTGTACTGATTCACTTACATGTTTCTATCTGTTTTACTTGTCCATTGCATTATAATGCATTTAATTGGTGATTTTTATGTGTATTGATTGTGATGATGTTGACCACATACTGGAAGAACTGCACATCATTGATTCCTTCTTTTATTCTGGTTTTAGATTATTCCGGCTATTTATTTGAGCAAATTTGTAAGATTCTAAAAACATAGTCATACTGTAACCTGTAAAGTTACATTCAGGAATATTACCTTATAAAAGGTGTGTAGTATTTGATTTTTGGTCAGTGCATAATTTAATGTATAAAATTCAACATAGTAGTACCGGGCTTGATACATCAGCACTGTTTTTGTGAGTTTAGAAAGAGGAATCTTTTACTATGAATGAACCAGCCAAAGGATACTGACAGTAAAAGGAAAGGAAAATGCTGCTGTTCTCTAATATGCCATAGTTTATATTTATTTTGTTGTTGTCTTTTAAGAGGATTAATTTTACTTTTGTTGTTGGCCAAACATCAGTGGAAGGTTCCTGGTGTTTTCATACTGTTACTTAGTAGCAGTCTAATTTTGGAGTAAGTAAAATTAATTTTGTTTCCTAGCTAGTTCTTCCCTCTGAGAATGACTCCATCTTTTTATATATGTTTTTCTAATTCTTTAGCCTAATCTAAGAGTGTCATTTAAACAGCAACCCCTGACCTGTGGCTAGAGTTTAGGATGCTATAACCCAGTCCATGAAAGAGATGAGATAGATGTCACTTTTCACTGCCAACAGCTGCCTCATCTTCCAGATACCCTCTTGTTCTTTCTGGCCAGGCATTAGTGTTTATGGCCTATATCTTTATTTAAATCTTATTTACATAATTTAAAAAAACCCCAATAAATTCTTCAGGTAATTTGTGGATTAAAATGAGAGTAGTTCCCTGTTGATTCCTTATCCACCTTTGGAAGACCTAATGCTAGCAGGAAAGAAGGGAAGAAGAGAGAACCCATTTTCTTTTTTCATTACCAGCGTAGATTTACTTTGTTTATACTGGGTCTGGATGGCATAATTTTCTTTATAGCAGCCTATTATGGGGCTGTGTTTTGGATTTGTCACTAGAACTGTTGATAACACTGGTGTTTTGGCTGTTACAGAGCAGCACTTGCAGTGTCAAGACTATTTCTTTTTTTCCCCATTCTGGACCCTCTGGTGAGTAGGCTGGGGTTGGTGAGAAGTGGGCAGGGGACATGACTGGGAAAGCTTACCCAAGCTAACTGCAAGGATATTCCATGCCATACAACATCATGCTCAGCAGTAAACAACCTGAGGGGGCAGGGGGAGTGGTGGTCTGGAAGGTAGCTATGGCTTGGAGACAGGCTGGGCATTGATCTGCTTGTGGGAGATAGTGGGTGGTGAAAAACACCACTTGGTGTTTTTTCCTCTTTTCTTATTAAACTGCCTTTACTGGGACCCATGTGTTTCCTTGCTTTTCCTGTTCTCTCCCATGTGTCTCACTTCTGGGGGGTGGTGAGTGGGCAAGGGGTTGTCAGGTAATTAGCTGCTACCTGTGGTGAACCGATCACAGAGTTCTTAAACATTCAAACATTTCATTCTGTGTAATGATACAGCTGAATATGGTCCCAGAAGAAACCACTCATCATATTTTGGGAATATATTAAGAAATTTCTTAATTGATCCACTGTAAGGATTATGTTGCACTTAAGCTGTTGCTGACTATGCTTCACTGCCAACACCTAGTGGTACATAAGCCGGATGGGTGAGTTGATCAGCTGAATGCTTTACAACCCCTCCTAATTTTGCTTTAGTTAGTATTTTTTGGGGAAGCTGTGGAGTTTTAAGTTGTAATAGCTCCACAAACAGTTTATCACATGCTGTGTGAATCATAGAATCATTTAGTTTGGAAAAGACCTTTAAGATCCTGGAGTCCCAACTGTGGAGTCCAACTGTTAACCTAACACTGCTAAGTCCACCACTAAACCATGTCCTTAAGTGCCACCTGTACACATCTTTTAAATATCTCCAGGGTTGATGACTCAACCACTGCATTGGACAGCCTGTTACAATGCTTGATAACCCTTTCGGTGAAGAGATTTTTCCTCATATCCAATATAAACCTCCCCTGGTGCAGCTTGACGTTGTTTTCTCTTGTTACTTGGGAGAATGGTAGTAGTAGCAGAAGGAAGCAAGGAAAAAGACCAAAAAATGGTTCCCTTTTAATGAGGCATGTGGATGAAAACAGCAGTTAAATATCCTGGCCTGTAATAGTGGAATACTAAGCTACTTATGCCAGTGGAAGAAACATCCTTTTTCGTGTTATTTATCAGTAAACTCTGACAGACTTATGACTATCTGTAGCTTCAGAAGGTGTTTTTAGGATATTTTGGAATTGGTCTATGCATCAAGCCAGTAATGACAAGTGTCCCTTCCTTGTCCCAGTGCTTTAGTTGTGTGAGCTCCTGATGCTTTACGCCAGTGAAGATGCAGCTGAGGACCGAGCTGATGCAGATTCAGCGGAAACGAATGTTTCTTGCGTTTTTATCACAAAATCACTAGCTGTCTGTGAAGCTACAGGAATGTATGACTAAGGATTTGGGAAATAAGGGAATACTACTGTCTAGCAATACTGCTCTTTTCAGTATGGCTGAGGTGGCATGCCATTTCATTAGCTCAGGCATTTTGTAAAATCCTACTTTTAGTTAGTCCTCTTATTTCCTGGGTGTGTATGATGATTGAGATGATCTGAAGAAGAGTATTTGGTTCTCCATTTCTGGAATGCATCTGGTTGCATCCATCTAGCTTCTCAGAAGGGTGCAGTATTGTTCCATGTTGTATAATTTAGTCCTGTTTTCAGGAACTGCTGCTAAATCTTCTCTGCGCTGCCATAATTACTGGGAATTTTAATGGTCTGCTTGGGTGAAGACCATAGCTTCATCAGCTGTTCTCCTTGCACCATTTTTTTTCTTTCCTTGCTTCAGATGCAGAATGTCTAGAGGTGCAGTGCAAGAGCCTTGTGCAATAATCCATCTGCTTTTCCCTGTGTTCTGATATGGTCATATTTCATCTAGTGATTCCACTGTCTTTCAGCCTGTGAAATAGGAGATCAGAAGCTTAGGGGGAAGTTGTCCTCATCAACATAATGTTTAAGTACTTCAATGTAACATGACAGATCACATTAATAAAAAAACCTTATATCAATATGTGTTTCTGTTCGAGTTCAAAATAAAAGATATTTCATGAGAGGTGAATGTTACAGCCCATAAAACTTTAAGAGATCACAAGACATGTTAGCACAGCAAAAATGTAGTAACTGTCATTCTCTCTCTTCTTTCACTAACTCTTCATAAGCCTTGTCTTTGCTGTGATAATTAGCTACAGTTAATGTGCTCATGCAGAGGCCATACTGGGGAGGATGATTAGCTGAGGAAATGTTTAGCATTTAATTAATTTTAACTCAGGGTTCTGCCTAATTGTTACAGGAAAAAGATAAAAATTCAGCTAGACTTGACTAATCCATGTAAGAATCCAGAACATACATTAATAGCTTTTCACAGTTACTACTTTGGAATGTTATTTTATTGAAAGGCAATAAATAGTTACTCAATCTTACCTTCAGACTTTAAAATAAATAAAACAGAAGTTGTCATGCATCTTCAATAAAAACTTCTGGTTTTGCTGATGAATTCATAGTAATTGACTTAATAAGTATACTGAAGACTGTAGGACTAATATAAATCACCAAATATAAGCATATAGATTAAAGATGTTTATTTAATGTAGACTTTGAGTGGTAGTGGATTCGGTATAACTTTTGCTGTCATATTCTACTTGTAGGTAAAAAGAACATACTCTCATGGTACGTATAGAGCTGGCCCAATGAGACAGATCAGCCTGGTTGGAGCAGTTGATGAGGAAGTGGGGGATTACTTCCCTGAATTCCTTGATATGTTGGAAGAATCACCCTTCTTAAAAGTAAGGACAGAAGGGAATGGGATGGGAGAAGGGGAACAATATACTGTCAAGTACTAATAAAGTGAGGGTATGTGATACTTGCTTACATAGTTGAATGGTCTCATAAATGTTTTCATTGTGACAGATAAAGGCTGCTTTTAAAAAGTTTTTAAAGTAACTCACTTCAGAATTGTGGCTTGTATTTCCCATTAGTGTACACTGCCATGGGGAACACTTTCTAGTTTAAAATTAGAGAGTCGTAAAGACAGTGATGATGGTCCCATTATGTGGGTGCGTCCAGGAGAACAAATGATCCCTGTGGCTGACATGCCAAAGTCACCTTTCAAAAGGAAGAGGTAAGTTGAATTATTTTGTTTGATAAATGTCTGGTTAGTATTCTTTCTCTACAGATCTACTTTATCCCAAACCTTTTACTGGTTGGTATATCTTTGTATAAATTTATAATATGCTTTTAAAGTTGCTTTGTTTTGTAAGGATGTGGATTTTTTTACACATTGTTTACTATACAGCCCAGTAATGTGCTGGTCCTTTTTGGAGCTTTAGTAGGAATTTAAGGTGAAAACTGCAGGGAAATGTGAATAGGCTTGCAACTACTCATGTATGCCATGAGACTGAAATGCCTTGTTCTTGAATGTGAGTGGATATTTAAAGACCTCAAGGAACAAGGGATCCCCTCTCATCTGAAAGGTTAACACCTCCAACATTAAATGATGTCTTTTAAGCTTTGCTGTGATACTGGGTATAAGTACCACCTTAAGAGTAGGGATGTCCTCTGCAGAACTTGAATTTTATGTGTCATGAGAAATTACATCTCTGAAGTTCTCTTGTTCAAAATTCAAACACAAAAAGGGAGCATACCAGAAGTGGAAGCAGAGTCACGACGAGTATAGAAATACTGTCCAACCATGAAGGGGATGAAGTTAAAAGCCCAATGCCAGGTCCCAGAATCAGTAGGAATGTGTGGAGCAAAGACTGCTTGCTTTTAGTGGAGGAGAATCAGGTTAAGGAACAGATTAGGTGTACTGATTAGACAGACACAAGCCCATGGGACCTTATGAGATGTACCTGCAAGTGTTGTGGCCAGTATTGTTACAAGGCCACTCTTGATTATCTTTGGAAGGTCATGGCAATTGGCAAAGGTTCCTGAGGACCAGGGGAACGCAAATATCACTCCAGTCATTTAGAAGGGTAAGAATCGGGACCTGGGGAGCTACAGGCCAGTCAGCCTCACCTTCATCCTGGAAGGGATGCCATTTCAAACATGAGGGATAAGATGATTGCTAGAGTAGCTAGTATCGATTTACAAGGGAGAAATCATTGCCTTACCCACCTGATAGCACGCCACAACAAAATGAGTGGCTCACAGGATGAGAGGAGTGCCAGGGGTGGTGTTTATCTTGAATTTAGCAAGGCTTTCCACACTGGACACCTGTCTTCCCTAACATCCTAATAGACAAATTAATGAAGGACAAACTAGACTGATGTACAATGAAGTGGTTTAAGAACTGGCTTAACTGCTGTGCTCAAAGGGTTGTGGCGGAGCAGGAAGTCCAGCTGGAGGGCAGTTATAGTGGAGTAACCTGGACATTGATACCTTGTGACAGTACAGTTCAGCAACTTCATTAACGACTGGGATGAGGGCACAGAGCACACCCTCAGCACGTTTGCAGCTGATACAAAACTGGGAGGAGTGGTTGACGCACCACAGGGTTGCGATGCCGGTGAGGGGAACCTTGAGAGGCTGCAGAAATAGGCCAACCCAGTGGACTCTTCCAGTTAACACAGGGATGTGCAAAACCCTGCACCTGGGAGGAATAAGCCCGTGCACCAGCACAGGCTGAGGACCAACTAGCTGGACAGCAGCCCAACAGAGAAGGACTGGGGGGCTCCTGTTGGAGGACAGACTGACCATAAGCCATCAGCGTGCCTCTGTGGGAAAGCAGGCCAGCAGCCTCCTGGACAGGATTAGGAAGAGCCCTGCCAGCAGGCTGAGGGAGATGATTCTTCCCCTCTGCTCATGACTGGTGAGACACATGTGGAGTGTCATGACAGTCCAAGACAGATGTGGGCATACTGGAGCAGGTCTGGTGACAGAGGCAAGTATGGGAGAACTGGAATTTACCCTTGAGAAAATAAGGCTCAGTGGGATCACATCAATGTGTGTATGCATCTGATGGGAGGTTGTGAGAAGGACTTTTTTCAGCAGTGCCCAGTGATGTGACCACAGGTAATAGGCACAAACTGAATTACAAGAAATTCCACGTAAGATAAGGAAAAAAAAGGAGTTTTCTTGTATAGATGGTTGAACACTAGGATAGGTTGCTCAGAGTTTGTGGTGTCTCCATCTTTGGAGTTGCTCAAAATTTGACACAGTCTTGAGCAACTAGTTGAGTGGGGTGAACTGGACTAAGCTGAATTACAGTCTCCAGATGTCCCTTCTAACCTTAGCTATGTTATGATTATGAACAGCTCTTGGAAAAATGTGGCACACAATGTTGTCTTTAGGTGGGCATGAAAATGGCTCTGTTCCTGCTCTGCAGTGTCTCCTTCACTTTCATTAAACCCTGAAGAAACAAGCTTTTGCTGTTTCTCATTCCCAGTTCTACAACACAGAACTAAATATACATACACACACGTTTCCCAGCAGTTTTGAGAGAAACATGTATGATGAAGAATGACTTCAGGGACAACTGAAATGTATATCAAATAGTCTGGAAGTAGCAAAGTCTGACAGTTCTCTGCCAGGTGCTGATCATGGTAGGGCTCGAGTATCACAGTGCCTGAGGGAGGCAGGTAGGGCAGACTTAGGTTTGGGGACCAGATCCAGCCCAAAGTGTGTCAGGCAAGTGTGTCCTTATGGGGCAAGTCTGATGTCAAGCCAGTAAGTCTGGTCAAGTGATTGCCAGGCAGGTCGATCATGACAAAGCCATCCTGAGGTTAAGCTGGGAAGCAAGTCTATATGGCCCAGCACACCTCTGACTAAGTTGAAGACCAGTGCTCCTGTCGCATGGCTCAGGCCAGGACTGAAGGCTGAGGCCTGAGTTTAAATAGAGCTTTTGGGCTCTTTGTCCAGGTTTGTGGGTAGAGACTGCAGGTGAGGCTGCTCAGTAATTGGGGCCTTTTAGTGCACTCAAAACCCTGACACTGTGGTGATGTTGGGATATATATATATTTTTTTAATTGCATAGGTGTTTTGATTTTTTTTGTGTAGGTCATAACACTTAATTTCTCCTAAGTGTTACTGTCTTTGTTATTTGACTCTATGTTCTTAAGGAGAAAAATGATCCTATAAGTTATGGTAGAAACAAGGTAATTAAGAGAATGTTCTGTATCACTAATACTGTATTTGTTATACAGAACTACCAATGAAATAAAAAATTTGCAGTACCTACCTCGAACCAGTGAACCCCGTGAAATGCTATTTGAAGACCGGACACGAGCCCACGCAGATCACATAGGACAAGGTTTTGAACGACAGACTACAGCTGCTGTGGGAGTACTGAAGGCTGTGCACTGTGGAGAGTGGTATGTGTTGACTGACTTATTCAGCTAGCTGTTTGAAAAATATTTGCCTGACTTCCCATTTATAATTGCTAGAAGGAGCACAGAATCAGTTAATCTAGTATTAGAGAATTAATGAAGACTTAGTCGATACTGGACTTTTTTCCATCTGGCTCTGTGTACTAGATGTATTTGTCTGCCCTCTGCTAGATATTAGACAGTTTTGCAGTGTTGAAACTAGAAAGGTGCCTTACAAGGACAGTTTTTAGCTGTAATTGAGTTTCTGTAACTGAGTTAGGTGTGAAAACACTTCACACTTTATTTTGCTTTAAATAGTGCATATGGGCTGACCTAAGTTTGTGCTTCAGAGGTGCACATGAAGACCTTTGGCAATTCTTTGTGTTGTCTGAAGATGAGCAGAAGGGTTATGCTTCTGCTTCAAAGTCATGGTTGTTATATCCCTGATACATTTATTTATCCCTGATAACCTAGGAAGAATCCCGTTGGAGGTTGTGAGATATTATTTGGTGTCTGTCTTTGGAATTCCCATATGAGATTCAGGAAAAGAATGTATCTCATTTAAAGCTGTATATATTTTAGCCATATAAAAAGCCCATAATCATATGGCTTCCTAGCCCAGATCTAAGAAACATTTTTCAGGATTTTCTGGCCTTGGTTTTGGAGGTTACCTTTGCCTATGTAAACACTAAAAGCATCTTTTGTTCTTTGTATCTGTCTAGAAGAGTGAATTCCCTTTGTATTAAATGATGGGAATTTGTGTTACAGTACATGAGTTCATTGAGATAGAAACTCCAGTAATTGCTATTGGGGAAGAATGGGATTATTCGGGTGTTAATGTGTCTGTATTTTGGGCTCTAAACGTTTACAGTTTACTACTTCAGGCTAATGATAGCTGGAGCCTTAAACTTCCTGCTTGGTCTGGTTGTGAGAAGCCGGAGTGTGAATTAAGACTGAGCAGTAGTAGCAGGGCAAGAGCTGAGATACTCTGTAGATATGATTATTTTCAACTGTGCTTTGGACATAGAGAGAGACTCAAAGCTTTATAACAGGAAGTAAAAAAAACCCAAAAAAACAACAAAACCCCACTTCCCAAACCTGTGTGCCTGTGGAAATTAGTAAGAATTCAAATTGATAGTCATTTTAATGTCTGTAGGAACTTTTCCATTCTCATCCTATACCCTCATAATATGACCCTCCTCCCTTGGAAGTCATTACATGTTCACTTGCGTTCCAAAAATTTCCTTCTTTTCAGATCTAAACCATCATCTTCTCTCATATGTTGGAACTTGTGGAAAAGGGTGTCTAGTCAACTTCCATTAAAACTCCTTTTAAACTTGAAAAAAAGTGTATGGAATTAGTCAAAATAAAAATGGTGTAGATCAAAAAGTGATCTGAAAATAGGCAAAACTAGTCAAAACTGCCCAACGAAATTGTTTCATTTTTTTTGGGGAAAAAATGTAACTATCAGCATTTCACTTGAGTGTAAGGACTGAAAATGTTTTTTTTAATGCAGAATAAAAAATTTGGGACTGACATATGTAGAGGAGAAAAATATGTCACAACACAATAAAAAAGAAATGTATTTCAAGCTTTATTTGACCTCAGTGATAACTTCTCCTTTCCCTTTCCATTTTTTTGTATAATTTTGAAAAGCCACTTCACTGTACTTACATGAGGAGAACTAATCAGGGCTTATGATAATGAAGCACTGTTAATTTAATGTAGCACATTAAAATAATTTCAGATAATAGCTTTCCTGTAATTTGTAAGATGTGGGTAGATTTATTTTAAAAGAAGCAACATGCATGGAAGTTTTGAAAAATCTGTTTTTTGTTTTTTTGGGTTTTTTTTAAATCAGTTTGAGTAGTTGAACAAAACTAAAAATTGGAGATATTTCAGGGGTGATTATGGCACTGTGACAGTAAAAATGCACATGTTTTAATGATGGGATACCATACATAAAATTCATGTTTTCTGTGATGAGGAAATAAAGCAGTTCCTAGATCTGAACTGAGTTTGACAGTTTGTGTTTAGTTAATGTAAAAATGTGTGAAAAAGACTTTGTAATCAAGAAGTTGCTGTAGGTTTAAAGCAAGTAGGATTTATTTAGTAGTTGATAGGCATGAATGTTAATGTTAGGTAGAATAACTGTTGTTTTTCAGAAAAGGCAGGAACAGAACTGTTGAAAGGCAAAAAGCAGGTTTTGGGGACAGAGGACAGAACTGGAAACAAAATATAGTATGTGCAAGAACAACAACAACAAAAAAATCTGCTTTCCCAGCTATGACAGGCTCTTGATTTGAGATGTTTTGTAAAATTGCTGGATTATGATCTTTTTTAATTTCTGTGAAGACTGCACTGTGTTGAAGTTTGTTAAACGCTGGTGTTACGATCATGCTGATTACTAAATGCCATTTTTTATAGGTGTTAAGCTCTAAAGCACACTTGTTGAAATGCCAGTTAAATTTTAAATTATGGAAACTTTGAAGATATTTTTTTTTCTTATCTGGTAAATTTGGGTGGGAAGTTTTTAAGTCTGAAACTTATAGGGACAGCAAAAGGTACTTCATGGCATATTGTTGGCAAAATTGAACTCTGCTGTCCTTGTTTTTAGCAGGCAGCTTTCAAATTTGTGTTCCAGAACATGAAGTTGTTAGTGCTTCTCTATATGGTCATAGGAATTTGTTATACATTGCCAGACTTTATGCGTTATTAGGTCAGAAATTTTCATGGTAAAACCTGTAGTCTTGAATCTGTTTTGGAAAGTTAGAGCAAAAAGAGTCCAGCCCTTTTGAAGAATGAGATTAAGGTAAAAAAATTGCTGCCAAAAGTCATTCTAGCAGTGCTCTAGTAGGGACTTAAATGGATTTTTCTGAAGTCATTTTACAGTTCTGTTTGGGTTTAATGTCTTTCTGGACATCTAACTGAACTATTCTGCTACTATTTTGCTTGGGGGGGATGACACCCTGTAAACGTCAGGTTTTACAAAATCTCAAAGTTGTGCTAGATACCAAATCTGCAAATGCAAAATTAAGAACTATCTGGCAATAGTTTTTATCTGTTTGCAAAAGGAACGTCGTGTTTTGTGATAGAACTGCAGCACAGAGTTGGTAATGCATACTGTTGCTCATATATAGGGACTGAGAAAAGGAATGATGTAAAAATCATACTTTGTCCTGTATAATGTGTAAAACAGAGTAGACGCTGCTGTGAAAACACTGCTTTGGATTGAAATTCTTTCAGTAAGCAAATATTCTTTGTATTTATTTTAATTCTTAACTTCACTTACAAATATTAACTCAGATGCAGATACATTTAAAAAAATATCTGCATTATAAAAAGTAGATTAATGTAGCTAATATGGGGTTTTATGCCACTGATTACAGATGTTTCACTAAGCTTTTTGCTTCCAGTGCTTAAATCCTCTTTTAGGGGTATGTAGATCAAAATATTGAGACATTTTAATCTTTAAAAAATTGAAAGTAAAGTATGTGGTCTGAAAATTCTCCCTAGCATACTTTCAGTAGTTGATCTGGGATTTTTTTTTCCCCTGAAAATGGTCTTAGAGTGGTTTTTTGCTGTATTGAGGTCATGACCTAAATAAAATAAACATGTCGAATCAGCTTAAAAAGCCCAATAAACTGTACATCATTGCCTGCTTCTTAGAACGTTAATACCACCATATCTATCTATATATATATCTAAAAATTGATCATCATCTTGCTTTTAAAAAAGGAATTCTTGAACATCCATTAAATAAATTTTGAAACATATCAAAGTGTTTTGCTGGATCAGCTCTTCCCCAGGCCCCGGTAAATCTGAACTTGTGGCCCTTTTGACTCTGGGGCAGTTTGCAGGAGTGGGGCACAGGGCAAGGGGGTGGGCTGCCCAGGGGGTGGCAGGAGCCAGCCAGGCCCTGTGGGTGGGACACCCAGCTGGGGTGGCTCCCTGCACTGGTACTGCCACGCTCCTGCAGCCCTGGCACGACTCCGCAGAGGGTAAAGGGAGGAAAGGTGTCAATCAGGCTCTTTCTGGCCGATAAATTTTCCTTGCAAAACTAGTCCAGTGTGAGCTTTATTCTGTATAAACGAAATCTTCTTATCACCACATTTCTAAAAAGACTTTTTAAAAACCAAAGATCCCTTAAAAACAAACACGTGGAGCTTAGTTTTATAATATATGTTTTTGTTGCAAGATCTGAGTTTGGATTTTAGATCAGCAAGTGATAAGGATCGTGGCTAGCTTTGCCTTCTAGCTAATTCTACATAATGTCTCAAATGGAATTATATAAATGATGTGCATTTATTTGGGGGAGATTTTGTGGGGCAAGAGGTGTGAATTCTCCTTACAGTTTGAATACAGAGACAAACCCTAATTCAGGTTTTGCTTTTTTGTAGCTCTCTAGTGAGCACAAATAGGGGAGTGTATTTTTAAGGGATATTTTATGGAGGATGCCAGTGTTTGCCGCTTACTGGCATTGTGGCAGCTTAATGTAGATTCAGATTTGCTTACTAACTCTGAACAAGGCGTTTAAGGCTAAGATACTAAGTGATGTTTGCCATAATACTAGTCAGACAGCTGCATACTTTGAGGTACCTTGTGAGTATATCACGTTGGAGTGTTGACAGAGTAAGCCCAACCTACCTGGGGCATCTGTCTTTCAGCATTGAGGCAGACAGAGGTTAATTAAAAATAAAAACAGTGAGTTTTGTTGACCTTTCATTGCTGTTTGTACTGCCACTTGTAAAGAAATTGTGGCTAGTTCATTCAACTAGTTTAATGAAGTTGTGTTTGAGAATTAGCCATTTTAGTCAACCTTTTGTCTTCAAAGCGTATGTTATGCTAGAATTGGAGTTTTTTTACATCATTTCCTTCATCCTTGTTTGCAGATTTTCTATATTATTCTCTGTAGCATGTTAGTTTCAGCATCTGACTGTGCAATTCTTACTCTTTAGGTCTGAGCAGCCTCGTATAACCAAAGATGTAATTTGTTTTCATGCTGAAGACTTCTTAGAGGTAGTTCAGCGAATGCAATTAGATTTGCATGAGCCTCCACTCTCACAGGTAAGCATGTTGTGAACTGTTGATCAGGTGTCCTCTGAGTCCTAAATCAGGGTTTTCACCCTTTTTTTTCCACCCCTTTTTTCCTCCAGTGTGTCCAGTGGGTTGATGATGCAAAACTTAATCAACTGCGAAGGGAAGGCATTCGATATGCCAGAATTCAGTTATTCGATAATGACATTTACTTTATCCCAAGGAATGTTGTGCACCAGTTCAAAACGGTTTCAGCTGTGTGCAGTTTGGCTTGGCACATCCGGCTCAAACTATATCATTCAGAGGAAGAACTTTCTCAGAATACAAGTACTGTTGAAGCAGGGACCTCTGCAGACACCAAGTCTTCGGTTATTGGACTTCAGACTGACAGCAGAATTTGTACGATGAGCAAAAATACCTCTGAAGACACCAAATTTTCAGATGCTCTGCAGACAAAGTACCTGCAGCAGGAATTTATGCCGATAAAACATGAACCTATCACATCTCACCGAATAAAAGAAGAATCCATGAATGTTGATCTTGCTGAAAAAACAGTGGCACCTAATGACGTCGGGGGCCAGAATGTTCAGGCTAGATTGGATCACGTTGAGTTGACAGCATTTAAGTTGGAAATGGATTCTAAATTTGAACCTGGCAGCAAGGACTTACAAGGCAAGTTATGCCCTGGAGGTCACATACATCCGGATGATACAAGACAACATAGTTCATCATATCCAAAACTGCATGGACAAAGAGAGGATGATTTTTTGTGCTAAATTTGTATATATGGTTTTAAATTCCTTTTTAAACTTAATGATGTAATAATGTAAAGATTCATAAATTCTGTGAGGCAAGTTTGTGACTTGCCTTTGCATCTGTTACAGAAAATAGTTATGTAGCTTTGTAACATTCCTCAGTGCCTGTCCATAACTGTGAAGTATCAAAGCACTTAGGGCCAGATGCACTGTAAACACTGCAGGTTTAACATAAAGAAGTCTTTAAATAATTTTGAGTTGTAGGTTTTAGAGTAGAGCTGACATTTAACATATATATTTTTTGTAAGATGAGCCAGAATTCTTTTTGACAATTCCAGGCTTTTCCATAGAGCTTATTTATACCAATTTTTTCATTTTAAATGTGTCAGCACTGTAGTGTAAATATCTTTTTTAAAAATCTTTTTAGTGTGATTTATACTGAAATGTGAGCCACTTAATAAAGGTTCATAATAACAGATTGGTTTTATTTTTGGGTCTGCAAAAAATAATTCAGTTAAACTGCCTCTCTAAACTGTTGTGTTTCTACCTGCACTAATGCATAGGATGATGCCCTTACGCCATTGTGGGGTGAGGAGCTGTAGCAAACTGAGGTAGAGCTGAGGCATTCTTTGTAAATGGAGATTAGTCAGAACACAAAATCAGTCCTTCCTGCACAGGATTTCTTACAGTTACTCATCAAAGGCACTCCCCAAACTCCTGCTGTCAGATGTTAGTGTGGAACAGAGAGGCAAAACCTTCCTCTGTGGTGGAGGACAGTTGGACACCCAGTGGACTCCAGGAGCACTACCAGTAACTGTCTGCATCTCTCGAGATAAGCTGGTGCAAGGGAGCAAACTCCTTTCTATGCTTGCCACTTCCACCTCCTCAAGCCACAGTTAAAGACAGTTCCATTTCATGTTAAACCCACACAACAACAACCACCCCTAAATTTAAATCAGTTGTATGACTAAAACTTAAAAAAATATAAATGGTTACTTACCAAGCTATAAGGGGCTCAACTTAAGCAGTGATCTGTAATACAGAGAGACACATTTGGATTTGAATTACTCCCTATGCTGATAGCATTGGGCAATTAAGATAGTTGCCAGCGTGTCTGGTAGGATGATTGCTCCTGAGTCCCAGTTTGGAAGCAAGAGTTATTTCATTAAGAAAATAAGTGATGTCCAAGTTAACTGTCCTCTTGCCCCACCTGTGGAATGCTTTCAGTCTCTTAAGCTCTGTTCTGAGGGAAGAGGATTTCAAGACTAGCTAGCATCTGATGTAGTAGTGGCAAAAACTCTGTCATTTAACTTATTTAATTCTTTCTGTAACATATTACTGTATAGTTCAAACGCATCTGAATATTTCTTTTTTGGGTAGCTACAAATAGTAGTAAACTGTCCTGCAGCCAGTCTTTCAACTGTTTAAAATTTAAGATCCTAGGCCTGTTGTTATTTCCAAAGCCTTCTGTATCTCTTTTTTTATTTTGCCCTGTAACTTTCAGAAAGTTGTACATCCTTATGTACCCAGTTTATAACCTTTAATGCACTTAGTGATTACTTTGACTTCTAGCAATAGAACAATGTGATTTCCAGGTGATACCTAATTGAACTACCTGAGGTCCTTTTGTTGCAAACATTTTTTGCTTATAGGTTGTTAAAATTCAAAATGTTACTGTGTACTTATGCCTGGCACTAAAAGCAGCCAATTAACAGATGAGTGCTCTGATTTGTTTAAATCAAAAATACATCTGTCAAGGAATTATTAATTAAATCAATATTTGAATTGCTAAGCATTACTCCTACATAGCCATAATCACATACTAGAGAAGCAATAGAAACACGAGTCTCTTGGATGTGGCTAATATGTCCTTAAGTCTTACTGCTATTTTCTTTAATGCGGACTGAGAGATTACCACCAGATTTGCAGCCAGATTTGCAGCCTCAGGGATCTTGCTTTCTTCTCACGCCATGAGCAAATGATTCATGTGTGACATGGTAAGTTATTACTCTAACAGATTCTGATTGGAAAAATTAACTCGTTCATGTAAAAATTTGAGCCTTCCTGATAGAAATGTGGTCTCATCTCCTTTTGTTTTCTGGATTATCTGGAAACTTCCACCCATAATCTCTTTGGTTTTATGAACATCTGTACACAATTATGTAGCCTTCCATTCCCATTCTCTATGCAGCCATTGGAGAACAGTAAAAGAGCTGCAGGTCTTAGTTTGCACCAAGCATGCAGCTTTCCAAGTGGGTTAGCAGAAGGCTTCAGATTTATCAAACCCAGCCTTGCCAGATACCGCTTTTCTTTGAAAAAAAACCAAAACACCAAACCAACAAAACAACAAACAAACCAAACCCACAAACTGACTATTTAGTTTTTTTTAAAAAATAATCTTAACTTTTATGTTGGTGGTCTGTATGTGGATCATTCATTCTTGTTCAAGTATTTTTTCAATCTGTCAGATTTTAGTAAAGTGTATACATCCCCCTTGACAGCAAACAACTTTCTGCATCCTTGACGCTGTCCAGACTGAAAAAATACATATTTGAAAAGTATTTAACAAATACAACTTTACACTTGAGTAGAACTTTGTTTCCTTTTAAAGACCTGCTCAGTGGTCTTGGCTGATATTGCTGCAGACTTCTGCTCAGGTATGTCTTCGTTCTGGAATTCCGTTTCTAAGCTACCTGAATCTTCAACCCATTTTTTTCTTTTTTTATAACTTACTAGAATTCTAAGAGATTAAAAAAGTGGCAGTTTTTTGCAGTTTTTATGCATCCTTTATTTTTTACTTTTGAGACAGATTAGATTCTCATTTTTAGACAGAACTCCTTGTAGACAGAGTATGAACAGAATATGGGATTACCAATGGCTATCAGAACTCCTTTTGAATTCAAAGGTGTAAAACAGTCTGGGTCGACTGGCTGTATTAAGTGTATGCTTCTTATTTTGCTTTTTTTAAAAAAAAAAAAAGTTTTTGTCCTTTACCTGTGGTGTATTTGTTTTGATGCAGTTGCTCTTTAAGAGGGGAGTACCTTTTCTGAGAATTTCAGCTCCCAAATTGTTCATTAGTCTGACAAAGGTTTTGCTTTGGTTTCAAGTGGTCCTATGCTATAACCTTTATTCCTGCCGCATACAACTTCCTATTCAGATTTTTTGCTTCAGCAATAAATTTTTCATGCCTTCTGATGTACTGAAACTAGTCTTTGCTTATTGCTTTTTTTCTCCTCCCTGGATTTCAGTTATATATAAATCTTTCTGTTGTTTCGGCTGAAATCTCCAGTGTTTTAGCTGTCTCTCTTGGCCCTTGTTCTTCTGCAGATTGGAAAAATCTGCTTAAGGCCTATTGCCTGTACTGCAGTGGTATTGACATCTGTGCGTTTGCAGTGGTGTTCCAGTTAATGACATGATGTGCAGAAATTTAGACGTGTTTTCCTAGATACTGGTACCATATTTGTGGGTAGCAAAGAATTGCATTGTACTGTCACTACCAGTAGCTTTCAAGATGGTAGCAAACTTTTTTTTAATGACTAGATCTTTTGCATTTCCCTGGCAACTGACTTCATGTGTTAAATACAAGTGTTACTGAATGTTGTGTCATCCCCCAGCCCTCCAAATACCTGCAAATTGACTCTGAAATAGCATTTTCATTACAGGTACTGCTGGCATGCAGATTTTCCCTTCCTTGTTACTATAGTGAATATTTCAATACTTCTTTAACTGAAATATTAATTCTATCTAGTATTAGATTATTTCAGAGGGTGATGATTTAAGTATTCATCTGTGAAAGAATTCCTTGGTGATAAATAAAATTGATTTTTAAGCAGATATATATGTGCATAGTAAATAAGTTGGCATTGCAAATGATGTAGGAACCGGGAGCGTAAAATAGAATGCTTTGAAACAGATTTGAATGTTACATATTTGGAAAATTGAGTAAGTCTTCCAAGAAACACAGGACTGGTATTCATTGATCAGAGTGACTGTCTTCTAATACCTGCATGTGAATAAGGATGCTGGATTGATTGAAATAAATCCATGTTTTCTCCGTGCTCACTGGCAAAATGAACTGTTGTGAGATAGTAGACTGCCACCTGACCCTCCTAGGCTGACAGCTGTACTACTTCTGATCAAGAGAGAAGGAACGTTGCAGGTTTCTCAAGTGGTTTTTTACTCATTTTTTTCTAGTGGTCAGATGTGTAGAGAACCTTATCTTTAGGCAGACCAGTGCCTGTTACTTGACTGTGGATGTAAACAAGTGGAAATGGAAAGGACAGATTCTCACTGATCTTTGCTTCGCCATGAATGACGCTGTTGAGAATGTTTTCTTTGATTGTGAGCACCGTGTTCAACTTGATATTTTACTACTTTCTCAAACGGATGAAATACACTTTAAAAACTGTATAACAGGTGATACTGATATTTTGTGCAGATCCCACTGAATTTGCAGCATACATGGGAAAATTTGGGAAACTCTTGATTCCTATCAGTCACCCATTTCATTTTTTTAAGAAACACAAATTATTTTGTGTTCTCTTCAGAAGCCGTGATTAATTTCACAGTATCTAGGTTCCTATTTCTATTGGAATCATCAGGGATACTGACTTTGCAAATTTAGTGTATTATATTCTAACCACTGTTTTTCTCTGTGCTATGATGCTAATATTTCCTCTGCTTTGGAGCCATGCTGTACTTGAGTGCCAGCTAAACATTGATCTTCTCATGTTCTGATCATGCTGATAGATGAGCCTACTGATGAGGGCATTAGTCCTAAATAGTCCTTTAATATTTGGTGTACAGTTATGATAATCTGATAAAAGCATTGATTAAAGCAGAAGTTTAAACTTCTATTTTTATCAAGTTTGATTTGTCAGTAACTATTTTGATATGTTTACCAATTAATTTCTAGTCCACCTGAATGAAAGTGCAGTGTACGGTAGAGCTTAGGCCTGTGTTTTAAGGACTATGCTTTTTATGACAGTGTTTTTATTAGGTTATATTGAGACAAAATAGAGCAGTTAGCTGAGAAAGCTAATCCCCAAGTCTCTCAAGAAGATGACCTTGAGAATGAGATCTGTGTGGAAGACTATTGTAACATAAGTCAAGACTGCTAAAGCTGTATCCTAAGCATGCAGTAACACTCAGGTACTTGTCTAATTGATGCAGTTGAGAGCTTTTGTTAATCTCAGAAATGAAATTTTTAGACTAAAGAACATCTTTTTAGCAGTGATTTCTTTATAAACTTCAAAAGGAACACTGAGATAAAACTAATTAGATAAACTAAGCTTGGGTTCTTGTTTCTTGCTCTTATGCTGTCATTCTGCACTGTATGAAGACTTCTTAATTTGCCTGCTTGTGATGTTTTTATTAGAAAGGCAGACTGAAGGAAATGGAATTACTGAGTTGCAGGTTTTTCTACTCTTTAACCAACTTAAGTACAAGACTTTGAATTAATATTGAATAGTACTCTAGTGGTCCAACTGTAGTGATTCCTTAAATCGCCTTAGTCCACAAAGCCTGATGCTCTTAAGCAGCAAGTTGATACCCAGCCCGGTTCAGGTCTAAAAGGCTCATATGGGGGACTAACTCCATCCAAACTTTAAAAAAAATAAAGGTACAGTGAAAAGGTACACTTTTTTTCCCAATTCAGTGTAGTTATTTTTACCTCAATCTTAATTAAAAAAAAAAAAAAAAAGGTGTGATGTGTTATGTGATAGTGCTGTGCTTTCTGTGCTAATAAATTCAAAGAACTTATTTCTGAGGATGTAGTTATTCAGGACCTTTATTACTTAAAAACAGTGTTACTTGTTCCCAAAATATAATGATGTTAAAATGGGTAATGCCCAACATAGGCAGAATTCTGAGTTTATGGGAGTCTCAAATTTCATCAATACCTTTGTATCACCCAACTTTTAAACTGGGCAAATGTGGAAATTTCTATGAGGTTACTCTAAGATTATGTTTCTGTACTACTATACATGTATGTCAGAAAATAGTACTGCTTTCATCTCTTAATTTGTTGCGTGACTTAGTCCTGTGCTAGCTTATTTTGTAATATTGTCATCCATGCCTAGCAGTGCATTTTGGGTGCATGTACAGGCATTCTTAGAACATTCAGGTTAAAGTTTGTTGAAGGTGGGGATGTTTATGTTACACAATACTATTTTTCAAATATAAAAAGAGCAGAAAAATGGGTATTATTCTACAATGGTGACAAATCAAGAAAAACTATGGATAATTGAAAATTTTAGTTTTACACATGTGCACTGATTATTTTCCTTAATCAGACAAAAGCAGATACCTACAATGTGAGTGTTCAAGCTTATGTAAACGATTTGAAGAGAAATAAATTATGTAGATCATATATGTCCATATACAATATTATCAATAGATGTATAACGTATACAATATATCATCAGTATAGGATAAATACTTGCAGTTTCACTTCTGAACAGCAAGCTTTTGAATTGCATTTCAAAACAAAGCTGCTGGAGGCAAAGTTCTCCCCTCTTCGCCCTGCATCAGCTGCTGCAGGTAACAGAGGAGGCGCTCGCTGTGTGCTGGGTACTTGGGCCATCGCTTCCTTCTGCCTGTTTCTCACAAATCAGTATGAGACATCCCGGCATCAACTTCCCCTTTTTCCTGCCAACTTCAAATCTGCTTTTCAGTCATTTTGTTCTATTTAATGAAAATCAGTCCATCAGTTTAAGAAAGCGTGAGGATAACTTACTCCGTTTCAAAGCTGTGAACAGTTCCTTTGAGAACAGGGTGATTATGAATAGAGACAATGCCTGCAACAGCTTTGGGAAAGGCCACAGTGGGCAGTAGTGTACTTTATATCATAAGTCTTTCTGAGTGAAGTTTTGGTATCACAAAAAGCTCAGACTCTGTGTACAAAGGGTCCGTTAAGTCTGATACAAAATACTAAGGCAAAAGGGTTATCTCTGAGGACTAGGAACTTGCAAATAATTTTGAGCATGTGTCCTAAAAACTTCTTGTGTTAAAGGAAATCAATTTCTGTGTGATTTCTGTAGCACAGCAGAAAGAAAGGTCTGCTTCAGCTTTCAAAATCACTGTAATTAATTCCAAGGTTTGTAAACCTTTAAAAAGGGGGGGAGGGGGGTGACGGATGGATGTCAAACCCACAACCAAAACACTGAAATTGTTTGGGTTTTTTTTTCTATTGAATTAGAGGGAGCAATTAAACAGATTTGGAACAACTGTGTCCAATTCTAGTTCGTTACAGATGCCAAACTTTCAGACAATTGTTATGCCTGTGGAATAGAAGGGGTTTATTAAGGGGGCAGAGTCACCATTTGTGGCCCATCTTGCTAATAATACACCAAGTCCTAATGAGGCCATTTCCTATTCTTCCATCATTTGTTCTGTTAAGTTCTAATGATCTGTTAACATCATCAGCTTGACTGCGGAAAGCTGCTCTGCTCTTCTGAGTAGCGTGGAGTTTTTTGGCATAGTCTGAACAAGGCTGTTTTGCTTTTTATTCTGTGATAATCATCACATGGGGAAAGACTATGGCTTTTGTGTTTGACATAATATGCTGGAGAGGAGTGAGCGTATGTATAGATATTTGTCTTCAGTGCTTAAATGCTTGTTGTATGTTTGCATCAATGTTTGTGAAGTGGTTCATAAAGTTTATCTTAATTGGAGGTAGGTCTTTAGACTCTCTTCATAAATTTTTAAACCATCCAATAAAAATTCTCTCAGGGCTAGCTTGCCTGCTTTAGGATATACATGGAATATTATGTCCTAGGAACCTGCGCCCCTGTTTCCATTTGACAGGACTGGAGACCTGCTGAAGAGACTGACAGGAGATGTACAAATTAAGCAGATTCTCTATACCACAGATAAATGCAGTATATTCAGCAGTCCCAAGACCATTCACAGAGATGAATTCTCTTGCCCCCTCCCCACAGCTAATGTTAATTGCAAGTGCCATTTTAACTTGAAAAATCACAAAGATGTGAAGGAAGCCAATTCTTTGCAGGAACCTTGTATGAGTGGGTAAAAAATCTCAAAATACAGAGCAAGGTCCTTCCCTGAAGTATTTTTCACAAGTAGGGCACAGATACCTCTCCAAAAAAACCCCATTCCTTGTAGGCCCTGAAGGGAAAATAGATTTCTAAATAGTAGTTTCAGCTCCCCAGAAGTTGTGTGATGCTGATCCACTGGAGCTGAGTACATGGGTTTGCTCAGCAGAAGTTGTGTTGTTTTTCCTTACAATAAAGGGGTTATAAATATTTCACCTTTTATTTTTTTCTCACAACAACTACTGTGTAGAAAGATTGTTTTTTGTCATTGCTCAGTTTCTCCTTTAGCAAGGCAGGACCAACAGCCACACCAAAGCAGATACAACTTAAAAAAAAATTTAAGATCAGTTGTTACTTGATGTTCTGAATTGAGATCCATTGCCTTAAAACGGAATAAGTGGTTTTCCTAAAGCCCTTTCAGCAGTCTCTGACATAATGGTTCCCACATCTTTATGCCTACATCTGTGTGACTGAACAGCAAGAGTAAATCCAAATACTTCAGGAAGATTTTTTTGTTTTTTACTGACAAGTACAGTTGAATATGGACAATTAAAATTGAGACACGTGATCTAGTCACCTCCTGTTAACATGAAGACTTATTCCTGGGGCCTTTTCATTCACTAGATGTTCTTTTGTACCTAGGAACTGTACATGGATTGGTATCTTCAGCATGCATGTTAAGAACATCCTAGACAACTTCTGCATTTGAATTTGGTGGTGGTGTAACTCCTGGAAGAGCACTTTCAGTCCACAAAACAGGCTTATGGTTTCAGCTTTTCCCAGAGGTACCACTCTGTGCATTTGTTACTTGTAAATGTTTATTTACTCACATCTGAGTTTGCCAAGTACTCCATAAAGCCAAGGCTTCTCTCCTGGAGATTTAATATACTAGGGCATTAAAAAAACATCTTCCTTGTTAAAATGCCACTTTCTGGAGGTAGAAACGCATTACAGAACTCCCCCTGTAGCTTCAGTGTTCTACAGCACTGGTGCTTTCCCACTTGAAAAGGTAATCACCCCTGTCTCCCTCTTCTCTGGATCTTGGACTGCTGACATGGTTTAGCTACTAACTTTTTTCTCTCTACATAAACATACTGCTTATTATCTGTTTCAGCAGCTTAAATGGCTTATTTTTAGTCTTTCAGACAGGAAGTGGATTCTCAGTGTCAAAAAGGAAATGCTGAGTCACTTTATTTTGGTTTTTTGCTCTTATTTGGCAGCTACCAATTCTTACTGATTCTTAAAGCAACTTTAGCACACTAGAAATTACTGGTTACTGCTTATTTCTTGAGTGACAGCACAAGTAGAAAACAGAAGTCCTCTTTCCAAGGTGTGCTGAATACATGGGGGCAGAACATTTGTGGTTCCTTTAAGAAGATCTACCTGCATGCAAAGAACCTCTACCTTACTCTATGTAAGAAATAATCATATTAGAACATCTTGTCTTGAACAAATACTTTTATTTACAAGAGCTTATGTGGCAGTTTTGAAATAAAAAAATGGAACAAGTCTACTTTCAGTCTTCAGCCTGGATTAGATAAAGCCTCCAGCTTGATTGTTTTCTTATTTGGCATTCTAATTTGGAGATTAAGTTTGCAGCAAAACTATAATAATCCAGTAACTTGGTACCAATCTCAGTGTTGAAACCCACACAGTGCATCTTAGTCTCTTCGTACATAGAAGATATTGTATCCAAGTTCAACCATACCCCCAATAAGCAAGGCCCACAAAGGGATAAAGACATAGGCTAGTTTCATCGTAGTAAATCGTTGCAGTTTAGCACAGAGGGCAAGGCAGAAGGCTAATTTAAGGAGCATTGCAATGAGATACCAGGTTTTTTTCTTGATGTTTTGTGAGCCATTGCGAGGGTCAAAGCCAGACTTGCAACGTCCAGCCATTTTTACAATTAACATAACTAAAAGAATAGTATCAAATATCCAGACTGGAATAAAAATGAGGAACCAGTTCCACGGTGCTTTCTCATCCAGCTTCAGCACCAGCATGATCAGGAAGAGTAACGTAAAAAGCCATGTCAGTAGTACTCTTTGCGCCAGGGACATTCTCATTTAAACAGCCTTGAGAGGAAGTCTGCTGTCAGCAACAACCTAACAAAACAAAAGAGTGGGGGAGGCATCAAAAGGTGTCACTACACAAGCATTAGGCACATCCCTTAAAGGAGACTAATTTCTCGTTCTTGCTTTCCCTCCCCTTCTAACCTCACCTGCATACTGCTTCCTAGAATTTTTTTTTTTTTTTTAATAACTGCCATTCTCAGCAAAGTACTCTGTTTTGGTCCTGTCCACCATTCAATTTAAGTGCCTTAAGTCAGCTGTGTAAACTGCCTTCATTTAAATTTGTTCTGCAAAACCTTCTCTAATCCTAAACTAGATGTCAAACTCACAAGTTTTTGTATGCTAAGATTGAGATCCATTTTCCTCCAGTACTGAGGCACTCATAGTTAACACCTGAAAAGAAACCCAACCATTCTCCCTCTATAACCAAATAATCAGTCAAATACAAACCAACTAACAAGGCACAAGTAACAAACCACCTGAAAGGTCCTGTAGTCCACAGAGCTGCAGCTGAAAAGACCCTGTAAGAACTACTACCACTTGCTGTTAAGCAGCAATCTTAAAACTACTAAAGGCTACGGATACCTGCCAGAAATCAATTATCTAATGTATGCAGACACTGACTGACAGGAACACTATTTAGATTTACTGGCTTTGGTAGTATATTTAAATTTCTATGTAGACATGAGAAAAGAAAAACCAAGACAAGTGCACCTGCCACTACAATCATAAAAGTTAGCTAAAAAGTTTTTTATATTCCTAGGTGAAAGGCTTTTACCACTGCATCTACCAGAAGATTTTCACTGCAAGTATAAAACAAAGGTGAGCAGAACTATGGTTTTCCTGAATATTTCATGCTACAAAGATGGATAATACGTACCAGTGAAATGTTGCTGAAATAGGTTTAAGTATTTCAAAAATCTGAGATTTTTAGAAATTTTATAATTTCCTTTAGAACACTGATACTCTTTCACATGAAATAAGAAACTGAGCTTTCATTTGTTTGAGATTACAGGAATATTTAAATCACTGAAAGTGTGATCTCATATTCTGAAGCATCTAATCCTCACCACCAGACACCACAAGGGAAGGACAAAACCTGCTTCCCCGTCCCCTCTGTGCCCCTGGCCACAAGCTGCTGCTGCTTCCTTTGTTATTACTGATGTTCACAAGATCCGATTAAACTCACTGAAGAAGCAGAAATCTATTAGCACCTTTTTCTTTTTAACCAGGTTATCTTTTTGTCAGATTTGCAAATTGAGCCAACTTTGTGCTCAGGTAAGCCTCAGAACCACAATAGGGGCAATAAAAGCTGCTGGTTTAACTGGTTAGGAGATGACCTGCTACATTAGGGCCAGGGGATAACAATCCTGTACACCACTAAAATTATCCTACCATTTAAATGTGTCTTCTGAGTTCACTAGGCCTAATTTTTGTTCAGCCTGGGTTTGAAGTTTCAATGGATTTCATTTAGTGGATAGTAGTGGGATCTCTCTTAAGGACAAGATTCAGTTTAGCTTAAAATAATTAAAATGGAGTTACTGTCATTGCATCCCCTCCCTTGTGTTAGGGCTGACACTTCTGTGACCCAGAGCAGACCAGTTCCTTGAGCTGGACTAGAAAAAAAAAAAGTTTAAAATACTATTTTTGTAGTCTGCTTTTTGCTGTCTTAGTTCTGCTCAGATCACCAAGGGCTCTGGGGAAAGCCAGTCACTGGCAGAGTAGAACAGAGACCCCCTCCTTAGGGAAGGGGTGAAGCTTAGCAGTGTAGGAGTTAATTTCTAAGTAGAGAAAAAAATTGAAGGACATTTGGATAGCATTGCTCTTTTCTGGTTATAGAAACATACCTAAACCAGCTGGCAGGTGCACAGGAATACAGAGCAATTGCTATGACCTGCCTGAAGCATTTCTATTGAAAACATTCCCAATATTCTCAAGTGCAAGTCTGCAGCTAAAGTGAAGAGAACAGTGATCTGAAATGAAGTTTCAACATTCCTTTTATGAGAATGTTTTTGAAAACTAGTTCTAGAAATCAATGCTACAGACACTACAAGAAGGAGAAGCTCTTATTAGCAAGCTGGAGAAAGCAGAAACCAAAGAAATAGGCTTGAAACTTCAGCCTGAAAGAAGAATTCAACACTGTTAGATCAGATGATCAGATACTCAAAGAAGGTGCTATCAACTGCCTCTTGAGGAAATAGAAAGCTACTGAAGAGGTATTAGATGGGGCTACTCAATTTGAAGGTTGCTCACTTGATGAAAAGATTCTGTTTGCTGAAGTGTTCAGAAGCACTTTGTACCACTTTACAAAAGCACTGGCAGAAAACTCAGCATGGGACATTATGCTGTCTCTCTCTGAAGAGGTGACTGGACAGGACTGCAAGGCTCCATTCAATTTTTGAGGTGTTTTTTGATAAAGACTCAAGCAAACCCAAGTGTACTTTTGAGATCTTATAGTTCTATAGTCAAAGTAAAGGAAGCTACCAAATTTTAAAGACTGACAGCTGACAATGATGAAGGGTTTCATTACATGGAGCACTTGACCATCTCTCATTAGGAAAGAAGGAGATTATTGGCAGATTCTCAGCAAGAGGCCAGCTACCACAGCACTGGAAAAAAGAATGCAGATATGGTACAAGTCTGAACTAGCTCTTCTGGGAAAACACTGAAGAAATGTCAAAGACGGAGTGTAAAAATAAAATAATAAAAAAGAGCTCTTGACTCCTTATAGAACTAATTTAATTAGCAGGAAGTGAAAGTTTCCAGGAATAAGAAACACTACTGACCTTGGTGAGGGTGATCTACATAATTAGAATATTATGACAGCTAATTATGTCCTGTTTAGGAAAAAAAAGCAAAAAAGAGGAGGGGAACTTACACATTACATTCAACTCAATGATCTATAAATTTAGTATCATTTAAACCTTGACCATTGCCTAACAAAGTTCAGAAAATGATATTATACTGAAACCAAATTAAATAGAACTCTAGCTTGATTAAATGACACTTTAAAGCCGATTAAGTAGGCATGAGTAATTTAACAGCTAGAAAAATATTCTAGTAGCCCCGTTTTAAAACCACATTCAAACTAGTCCGATATAAATACAGGTTTCACAAGTTCTCCTTGCAATTGGTGCACTCTTACTTCAGATAGTCTATGTAGATTTAAAAGTGCAAATAAAGTCAAACTACAACTGGAGTGCTTGGAATTACTGCTTTTCAGCGAAACGGAGACTCCCGAGCGCTGAATTTGGCTGGAAAAAAAAATCAGAAACTACTCAGAGGAACCGAACGAACAAACTGGCAAACCAACCGCAGGGCTAGGTAAAGCCTGCGACGGAAATGTAACAGCCTCCCGCAGTCCTCTGAAGAAAACTGACAGTTTCCAGCCCAGGCCCGATGCAGCTCTGCCGGGCACGGTCGCTATCCTCGACCAGCTTCGTCCAACACACCCCGAGGGGGCCGGGGACCGCCAAGCAATCACTGCCCCGGGCGGCGGCAGCGACCCGGGGAGCCGGGTCCGATCCCCGCGGGGCGGCGGCTCAAGCAGCTGCTAGACGAGCAGGGCAGGGCCTG